ACTACCAAGTGGATTTTGCATAGCCCAGATCTTCATCACTATTTATGCGTTTAATTTCTTACTGCCAAAGCAATAGGATATTCAACCACTGACTTCAAAAGGAGGATTTGTGGGAGCCGCAGGATCTTCAATCTATATAGATTTTTAACTAACATTTTAACTGAGCAACTGCGTTTCTAATTCACTTTCCCTCTACATCTTCTTGGCTTGGATCATTCTTCAGTTTTCTTGCTCCTTCCTCAACTCCATTTACCATAGAAATGGGGTAAAAAAAAAAAAAAGAAAGGCAACCGAAAGCAAAGAGAACAGCCACAGCTGTATTCCTCATTAAAGACAAGAAAAACACAGACTGCTGTCTAGAAGCTCTGGAAAGCTGAGTATCCTCAGGAGCAAGGAAGTCAGGTAGGGAATAATTTGCAAGATACCAGCGTGCTGACTTCTGGACTCCAGCCCCTGGGGATGATGTGGGTGTGTTCTCAGGGAAGATGCAGTAGCCGATGGGCAGGTTGGAAATACAGCAGCCAGGAATTTTTTACCTTTTAGTAGCCTCAGGGTAGATACTTGGCAGTTAAAAATGGATCTGTTGGTCAACAGTCACTCAGCTTGAGTCCTTGGAAGAAGCCACTGCTGCTTTGCTGCAGCAGGACACATTTGATGCTGTTACAGGCTCGGTGGAAATGCATGCGGAGCTGTGAGGATGCAAACACCATTGGAAGCCCTGCACAGACCAGGCACAGCTGTTTCAGCACCTCTCTCAAGCAAGTGCAAGTGTCAAGGCTCTGGACAGGTGAAAAGCATGTTGTGAATGAGCCAGTACTGATAAAAAGAAGTAATATTTTCTTTTTAAAGGTCCATGGTGTAAAGAAGATCTGTGAGGGATTGGCCACGAGAGGATCAATCTCCCTTGCTTATTTTATTCCTCCTAGGATTTCTTGATGCTTTTCTCTTCTGGAGCAAGGTTTCCTTAGGAAAGCAAACTGTGGAAACAGCACAGAGATGCAAGAGAATAAGCCGACGCAGAACAGCAGTTAAGGGTGTATCTCTAATAATTTACTGGAGCTCACCCTCCTGACCTTTCTGTATTTAGATCAGCAGGAAGGGTGCATAATGAGGGCTGCAAGAGGGCAATCGGGTTCTTACAGCTGGTCAGGCGAATTAGTGTGAATTGCTTGGCAGTTCACCAAAAGCAGACCAATGAGGGCTCTTCATAAGGGAAAAAAAAGTAAAATCTTGAAGGTGGCCAGTCCATGGGTAGGATTTTTCAGATTTCTAACCTGCTGTAGAGGAGAACAGTGGTTCAGTGTTTCAGAGAGACACCACAGCCACAGGCAAGTTGCCTTTGTCTGACACATTTCAAAAACCCTTCTGCTTCACCACCCTCTGCAGTTTCTTGCTCCCCCCTCCCCTGCATGCCTTTTCCCCATGTCCTTTAGTGTCACTGCGCCCTGGGAGAGTGGGGGAATAGTGAACACCGAGCAAGGTACTCTCCCCTTCCTCACTGGAGCACGGGGCTGTCGAGTTTTCAGCCTTTGAGACCACGCTCATCACCAGGCATTGCAGAGGCAAGAGCTTTTGTAAAGATAAGTCCTGGGAGCTAGGTACTTTAAAAACCTTCCCCTCCACACCTCCTCCAATCCATGCAAATGGCAGAAAATTGGTTTATCCACTCAGTCCTCATGCTGTCATTCCCCTTTGACCTGACTAATTAATTTCTGTGAATGTGGAGAACTTGCATAAAACCAGAAGTCACCTGTAAAATATTTGTATTTTTGGATATTTGTATTTTTGTTCCAGCTAGCATGGCTGTGGCAGTGCATGTGCTCTCTCTTCCTAATGCTCTCTGTACGTTCTTCAACTTGAACTGCATTTTCCAGTAGATGATAGTTACTGGCTAGTGGCATCCCTCTGAAATGATCTAGCAACATTTCCCTGCCCTCGCTATGGCCTGGATCAGGGCAACGGAAAGCACCAGAGCTGCTGTATCCCAGAAGGAGATGGAAATGGAAATGCATCCGTGCAGGATAGGAGAAACTACCTTCCCTCTGGAGCAGTTTTAAATCTGCAAGCCATCCTTGCCACAGCAGACAGCTTCCTGACCTCCCCTCTCCTTTCCCAAGAAGACAGTTGCTCCTCTTATATGACCATGCTTTGGGGCATGAATGCTTATGGGTATTTGGAGCAAGTAAGGAGAAAAACGATGTGTGTGATTTCAGTAGACAGTATTTCAAAAAAGCTGAGGCATTGTACAGCACTGTTGGCCATCTACCCATCTCCTCAAATGAGCAGCAGGTGCTTCTGATTTTGACTTGAAAAGAGGCATAAGGGTGTCATGAACATTGCATCTGCCTCACGTCCATGTTGCCATCCCTCAGCCTCTGACATCAGCACAGTGGTCAGGGCCACTGAGCCTGGCTTGCTCTGCAAGCAGCACTTCCATGGGTTGCTTTCTAGCACTGCCAAAATCACCAGCCTTTACCAGGTTGTTTTTATAATTTGCTCTTGAGATACAGGTGTTGGGGTAAAGAGACTCATCCCATGTAAATAAACAAATAATCACATCTTTCTGATTTGAATGGCTGTGCTGTCAGACGTGACAAAGCATTTTGCAGCACGTGCTGCAATAAGATATTTTGAATCTCATTCGAAACCTGTCAGCTTCCCTACTCCACAGAAGGGAGATAGTGAACAACACATACTTCAAAGAGACATTTTAAGGACTAAAAAGACATTCACATGGGGGTTTGAAAATGCATATAAATCACAGATGTTAACACTGAGACCTCGTTTATTTGAAATTGTGTCTGTTTGCAATGCAGCCCTGACCTCCCCTTGCTGCTCTGCGCCAGGGCGCTGTCAGGCAGGGGGACACGGCTGCCTGGCTGCCCACCTTGGGGAAGCACAAAGAGGTAGTGGGATTGAGGCTGACCTTAGCGGCTGAGCACTATGGCGCAGGAGATGTCTGCCCTGGTGGTAGCAACCTGCCCACTGGTTGCTGGCAAGCAGTCTCTGTCACATTTTAGGAGAAAGGGCTGTGTCTTTTCATGTCCAATTTTCATGCCAATTACTTAAATACACTTGGAAAAGAAAACACCAGATACCCAACAATGAAAGAGGGTTGAAGTCGAAAAGTCCCGCACAGGACTCACAGCCTTGCCAACCCCTGGAGGCCCAACAACCTGCAATCACGTTTGGGTTTCTGCAGGACCCCTGCCTCCTTCAGGAAATGGCAAGAGGTTTAGGATTTCCTTTCCAGCTGTTCAGGACTCACTGCTCCAGCCCCAGGCTTCCTGCAAAGCCATAGATCTTCCACAAGTGCCCTACACAGCAAGCCTTTGAGGGTATTACTGTACTCACCTCCCCAGGCCTTAGCGGTAGGTAGGAGTCTGAGGTTGCCTCATTTTCTCCTAATGAAGAGACATGCAGCAGGACCAGGGTAATAACCTACAAAAGTACACCCAGATTCTGGGATTTGAGGCACCTAGACCAGGAGCTTTGGAACATTAGCAATTTTTACAATGCTTTGCACATTCAGAGCACAGCTCCAAGTGTAATGAGGAGTGCTCAGCACTTGCCACTCTAATAGCACCCCAGGCAAGAGGGCATTATCCAGAATGTCTGTGCAGAATAGAGGAAACATCCTTTGGTGGGAAAACCAGCAGTCATTCACAACTCACACGCAGAAAGGGACTGAGTTACAGTTGCACAAGCACTCATGTTGCTGGTGTTTCCTTATACCTCAGTGCTCGGCTGCAGTGCCAGAGGAGGTTTTTCTCTGTGGTATCACTAGTAACAAGTTCTGCTGTATCCATGGCCACACCTGGGGCCAGGGGCAGGAGACAATGACCATGGGGCTGAGCACAGCAGCGTGGGTGCTCGGAGCATGCCCTGGGCCAGCCAGAGGCAGTGGGGCTGCATTCTTGCCGCAGTCTTGCTGGCACTGCCTTGCTGGGCCTCATTACCTCTGCACCTTGGAATCATAGAAACATTATTACCACCATGCTCTAACCAACTGAGCTCATCTCGAGGTCATTCGGGTTGGAAAAGACCTGTCTAATATCACCGAGTGACCTTACTGATTACTTTGAAGTGGTCAAATGATTTATGTACCAACTAATACATACGATGGGAGTGTAGGATGTGTGACACAGACCATATTAGCTGGGCATTTGGTACCTGCTGTGGAAATGCAGTTAAACATCACTCAGGAGACAAGCAACAGCCTCTGGGCTGTGTTAGAGGCCAGTGTTGTCTTTGTCCTTGCAAACTTTTCTGCCCACTGCCACATACGGGCTCTGTGCTTCCTGTTCCCCTCTATGAATTCCCGGGCTTCCAGCTGAAAATCCATTCAGGCCTGTGAGGATTTGTTTTCCTTTGTGGCACAGTGGACACAGATGCAAATCTAAGGCCCTTTACAAATGCAGACCAGCTCTCGTACCTCCTATGCCTTGCTGGATATATAGATAATCACTTGGGATAAGCTTGGAAGAGCAACCGTGAGCCTCACTGCAAACCCATGGGGGGTTTGGGAGTAACCTCCGTAAAACTTTCAAGTGTCACGAGGTGAATCTGTCCACATCCTGACAGCCCAACAGCTCACATTTGGGTGGCTCCCACGAGCCCCGCGCAAAGGGTACCCACCCGTGAGTTTAGCACAGTGGGTTCTGCCGAGATCCCGGCCCAGTTCTGGAAGATGGAAGGGAAGCGAGAAGACGAGGCACCGTCTCGTCGACAGCGCCTTCCTTGAGTGGGCTTGAAGGCGCTTTTTTTTGTTGTGGGTTTTTTTTTTTTTTTCTCCCCCGCCCCAAGTTGCCAGAAGGCGTCGAGTCAATTGTCTGCAGCGAATTCCAGCGGTGCCGGTGCCGGTGCCGGTGCCGGTGCAGGGAGCTAGGAGCGGGCGGCGGGTCGCGCGGCGCGGTGCGGGGGGCGGGCGGGGCGGTGCGGGGGCGGGCGCGGGGCGGTGCGAGGCGCAGGGGGCGCAGGCGGTGCGGGGGACGCGGGCGGGAGGCGGCGGCGGCGGCGGCGGCGGGGTCGGCGATGGCTTTCGAGGCGCTGGCGGAGGCGGCGGAGCGGTGGTGCGCCCGCACGCCCTTCCAGCTCATCGCCGCCGAGGAGACGGAGCGGCGCATGGACTTCTACGCCGAGCCCGGCGTCTCTTTCTACGTGCTGTGCCCGGAGGCCGCCTGCGGGGACAATTTCGTGAGTGCCCCGGGAGGGGACCGGGGGTCACGGCCGTGCGCGGGTGTCCCCCGTGCGTGTGCGGGAGCGGGCGGGGAAGCCCTTGCGCCGCTTTAGGACGCTCCGTCCGTGCGGGTCGCCCTTGCTTGGGGGGAGCACCCAAGGGGGCAGCGCCGAGGGGGCGGAGGACGGGGCCGTGCCCGGGAGGGAGGGATGCGGTGATGGAGGGCGGCGGGGCCGGGGGCCGGGGGGATCCTCCCACAATCTGCAAAATGGAGTCCGCTGCCGGTGGGGGGCGGCCCCGCGGGCAGGGGCACCCCCCTCGCACCCCCCATCCCCATCACCCCGGCCCGGGGAGGCTGCTGGCCCCGGGGCGGGTGGGGAGGAAGGGTGTGAGCCCCCCCCGCGCCCCGCGGGGTTGCAGCTGCTGCTCCCCCCGCGGCGCCTCCATCCTCCCGGGGTGCCGGGCTGGGGCACGGCGCAGGGACGGGCGGACTGGCAGGACTGTCACGGCAAATGGAGAATGGGCAGGGATAAAATGGAGTCAGGATGACAGGAGGGCCGCGCCCCCCCCCGCCGCTCCCCCGGGCCCGCCGGGGCCGGGGGATCCGGGCAGGTGCCGCCGCGGCCGCCGCGCCCCTTCCCCGCCCGCCCGTCGCCGGTTTCAGCGGCAAGTTCGTGCAGAAAAGGCACCGGCACCACATCACCGGGCTTTGGGAGGGTGTCCGGGGGTGCTTTTCCCCTTGTCCAGACCCTCCCGGTGGTGAGCAGAAGTGCAGAAAGAGTCACCGAAAAGTGACACCTCGACACGAGGTTTGTAACCTGCCAAGTGCGAGTTAACTTTAGTGAAAGGGTTTTATTCTGCCTTTTTTTTTTTTTTTTTTTTAACAAAATAGCTCCTAGCACAGATCATTATTATAGGAATGTTGTAGGTCTTTCCTTTCCCGGAGCAAGTTTTCTCCCTCCACCTGCTTGACAAATATTCACTAAGTCCCTTTCGAACAGGTAAGTGCAGAGTGAGCCCATTTGACAGATGGGGGTCCGTGGAAACAAAGAGCAGTGAAGTGACTTCTCCTGGACCACATATCCCAGCAAGCAGGATATTTATTTATTGTGTTGGGCAGATGGTCATACTGAATGATGGAAGAAGTTATCTGGAGTTTAGTTATGCATCTGTCCAACGATGATACATGGGACCTCCAGCTGTAGCAGTGGAGTGTCTCAGGGTGTGGAGTCTCTCAGTCCTCTGTGGGACTAGCCCTGCACATCCATATTCCCAACACCTATGAACCTGTCAGACCCCAGTGCTCATTCCTCTCTAGAGATGCCTGTGCCCAGAAAGGGCCATGCCTGATGGACTCTTAAACAGGGATAAATCCAGTGCAGCACGAGGCCAAAACTTTGATTGGACACTAATGCTATTGGAAATTGCAAAGAAAGCCCATTATTTTTCTTAGACGTGTTTTGTTTCTTTATACACTGCTCAGCAATAGAGTGAACTCTTTCAAAACAAAGTCTAGTCAACTTTAAAAAAAAGCAGTTTCAGACTCAATTCCCATGCTTCCAACACTGACCGGTCTTTTTTTTAGTTTTCAATCACATTTTCCCCTCTTTTGACAAATATTTTCATTCCAGGGTTACTATGGGAAAGATTCCATGCCCAAAGCCGCCAGTAGTAAACTGGAACAGAAGGGTCAACTCCCCTCAAATGTGTAACATAAACAGTGGAAATCTAGAAGCAGTGTTTTCTTCTGTGTCTCTCAGCATTATTACTTGAGGCACTTTTTGTAATGATAATACTTTTAAAACAGGTAAATAGGTGTAATTCTAAATTTTTTTCCTGTTGATGGTGTCTCTTTAATGTGATTAAGACCCACTGACGAGCAGATTCTCCAGCATCCTGTTCTCTGCTACTAGTGCACTGTTGGGCTTAATTTCTAGTCCCAGCTTGGCTATCTTGTTTTTTGCAGTCTTTTTTTTTTTTTCCTTATGTTCCAGAAGATAACTTTTCTTTCTAAGTGCAATTACAGGCTAAAGTTTATTTTAAGGAGACTTAAGAAAAGCCAATGGACTGATTGTCATTTGCACTTTAAGCATTGTTGCATGGCTCCTTTAGCACAGTGGAGTGTGAAAGTGAGTAAATATAAACAGAATTCACAGTGACACACTTTACAACCTTTTTGGCACCCTGTGACTCTTATAAAGGAGCCTTACATTTAATAAGCATCTGGTGCCTGGTATTCTTGTACTCTTTTTTTATGTCTTCATTTCATAATAATGCGACTTAAAAAGCTATGTAGGAGGTGCCAGAGAAGTCCATGATAACCCACTTGTAAGGAGGAAATGATGAGCCTGATGTACTTAAAAAGGAGGAGAAGAAAAATGTGGAAAGGTTGCCAAGATGCAATCTGGGGGAGAATAATTCTAAATTTTGTGTAAAATCAGAGATGCCAGATCACAACAATCAAATATTTTTAATTTCCTGAAAAGGTATCTTTGAGCTAGGTCTTTAACATGCTAGGGAGGCAAGAGACCCATGTAGATGCTTATTGGCATTTTCAGTACCACCTGGACACTAAAACTCTCTGAATCAGCATTTTAGATAGCTGAACTATGTATAATTTAGCTCCTGAGGCTTGTGATGTTCTTAAGAAATTAATTGGACTTGTGTAGCAATAATCAAGGAGGGTGAGGGTTGTGATGCTATTCCTTGTAGTCTGTCATTAGTTTTGTCACCATGTTATTTATATACTGGTATTCGAAGTAACTGATAAAATAAATAAAAATATGAGGCCATTTTGATGCAAGATTTCCTGTAAAATATTTTAGAACAGAGCCAGTGAGTCTGAATATTTTCTGCAAATTGAATTATCCCCACACAGAAAAAGTTTTGCTGCCATGCTCAACAAGTGGGCTCGTTAGAAAAAGGTGGTCTAGCAAGTGACTTTGTTGTGCAGCAACACTGAGTCATCTAGAAGTGCGAGGGAAAGCAAACCCCTCCAGATGCAGCCCTAGGCATTGTCTCAGCTATCTGCACTGTGTAGATGCTGAGCTAAATAATTCATCCATGATCCTAGGTCAGCTGAGGTAGAAATTAGCGGCTGTGTGCTTTTGTAGTGACACAAAGCAACTGTGAGCAAAACTGGGCAAACTTGGAAAACAAATACTCAGATGATGAGGTTAATATTTTTTTAATTAAACAGCCACTGCTGGGCACTGTGGTCCACCTGCTTGACAGTAGCCTGCTTCTCCCACTGCAAAGAGATCCTTAGGCATCAGGTTTTCCAGGAAAAGCATCTCCTTATGTGCAGCCTTAATGACTGCTTTAACTTTCTAAGCAGGAACTGAATCCTCAAATTACGTTTGTTTTTATTTTGAGGTACCAAAATTCCTTTTGCAGGTTCCTCTGGAGATGCATGAGTCAGTGCTGAGACAGTTCCTGCACTGCCTTGGTTGCAGCACTGAACCTCCACAGAGAGCTGCAGATGCAGCTGAACCTATAGGTGTCATAACCCTGGTATTTATTATGGTTAAGGTTTTTTGGGGGCAAAGATGAAATCAAGCCGTTTCTGAAGGAGATACATGCGCTGATGACACATGAGACCTTTCATAGTGCATCTGTTGCTACAGTCAACTTTTTAAATCTTTTGCGGGTAGAGAGATTATCGGAAGCCTTACTTGCTTATTGCCTTATGATGCTACGCAAAAAAGTCTCCTCAAAAACTCAGTGACAAATTCACACTGGAGTCTAAAACATGGTGCAACTTGAAAAGAGATTGTAAAAACATGATAGGACAACATGGGGTTAACTTTCCCTGGGGAACGAAGTAGCTATTATTTATTGAAGGGCAGGACCTGATTTTCATTTATGTAGAAGCTCCTGTGTACAGCTCTGGTAGTCGAAAGAAGCCACAATTTAAACAAGAATGAGAATCTCAGCTGTCATAATCATTTTATACATATAAACAATTACCACAGGTTTAGTGCAAGCCAGGAATTTCCAAGCTGCAATATCCAGCTCTGAAGTTTGATGAAAAGATTAGCAGTAACTAAAGAGTTATTGCTAACCTCAAGTAAGGAGCCAGACCTCCAGAATCTTGAGGCTGTTCTTAAAATGTTCTGATTTGAAAGTGTTCATTTATTATTTTAAAGAGGGTTCATTTGAGTTCACTTCATGTACCTTCTGCCTTTTTAGGCCATAGAAATCACAAAGTGCAGGCTTTTTTTCTGCCTTTTTTTTGTAAACAGGACCTGAGATTTAGTTGTATATTTATAGGATTGCAAGGCCCATGACTCTAAGATGGCATGAAGTATCATGAGACTTGTGGTATGTGTGTTTGAGAGTTGGCAAGACTGCAAAGAACTTATTTTTATTGCCAGAATGGCTAAGGGATGACTCTGGTTATATGGAAAGAGCAGAACCTCCTCAGTAATACGGAGTTGTTTTCATAACAAAACATTTCACTATGTTTATGCTTGTAAAATGCAACAAGCAGCAAAGAAAATGTAGGTCAAGTGAGGTTCATAGCAAAGCAGCTCCAGTTTTTATCTTAAAGGTGCAGCTTAGATGATGTTAAGTGCTGTTTTCTTTCGTTAAGTGTAAAACTGCATCCCTGGCAGGTACTCACCACTGAAGGGGAAGGCGACATGCAAGCCTTATGTTAGGGATTGAAACATCTGTCGTTTTGAGTCTTTCCCTGAATGTTAGTTAAGCTTCAGAGAGACCCTCCTTTTTCCTTGTTTAAGCATAACCTGCTGTTTATAGCAGAGTAAAAAGCTGCACGGCACTTTGGGGAAAAGAGCTGTTGTGCAAAAAGGGAGGTACAAGAGTCTCAAACCAATTTGGCGGTATCGCACTTCTCCGAGTAGCTGACTGCCTAAGACAGTTCTATGCACAGAGTCTTCAAAAAGAAAGTCTTTAAGGTTATATGTTAGTGTGTGTTGTGCTGTGTGCTGCCCTTGTTGTCTGAGCACTCCCACCATCACTTGCCAGCTCTGTTTCAAGCAACCTCCTAGCAGCAGAATAAACATGAGTTTTGGGAGAGGCTTCACAGAGTCAGGCTGGGGAAGCAGCATCTCCAAAGCAGGAGCAAGATGAGAGGAAGATCCCAAATGGGTTTAAATTCACCTACCTGTGAAGAGAAGATCGGGTTGTAAGAGGAGTAAGCCTCAAAACAGGGAGGGAGGCTTGAATTGTCAGGATGTTGTGAGTGCCCAAACGTCTCTCCTTGGCTCCGTGTCTAGAACTGCGGGTGTATTTTACATCTTTTCTTCTGCATCGTCAAGAGAATTACACATGAAGTTCCACCTCTGGGGTCACATCACATTTGCACTAACACCAGGAAGAGAAAGAGATGCTTTTATCTTCCTGAGGGCTTCACTGCAGTGGGTGATGCAGAAGAAGAAAAACCCAACGTGACTTCCAGGTCTGAGCAGGGCTGATGTCAAACAAAAAACACCTTTATAGGTAAAATGTGCCTGCGCAAAGTGTGCATACCCTTCATTGCTGGTGCATTTTCACTTCTGGATCTATTTCCCTGCTTTCTGATGCATCGTGTTAATAAAATGCAGGTTCCTTCTCAGAAGTGTGGCTTCTGAAACAGCCTGCAGCGCCTGTCCCCAGGGCGGGTCTTGAACTGCAGGGGGCTCGGTGTAATTTGGCAGATGTTTACAACATGTGACCTCATAAAATCACATGGAAAGGTTGACGTGAATTCCTGTTAATACCTTTGCTTTCTTGTGTTGCTGTTGGCTTTCAGCACGTGTGGAGTGAAAGTGAAGACTGCTTACCTTTTCTCCAGCTTGCACAGGATTACATCTCCTCCTGTGGGAAAAAGACGCTCCATGAGATATTGGAAAAAGTCTTCAAATCCTTCAGACCTGTAAGTGCCTTTTTTTTAACTTCTAAACATTGACTATTACCTGTGACTTAATAGAGCAGCACTGGATAGAGCAAGGTGGTTTTTTTCTTCTCCAGGCACTTATACCTCCAGTCAGCTGCCTGGGCTCATGAGTGTTTTACACATAAGCTACCTTTAGGCCATTGGAAATTTTTTCTTGGAAGTTAGCTGCCTTTTTATTTCCACCTCTATGTTTGAGAGGATGAGATTCCCATCCAGGGTGGGAGGCCAACTGGAGCGTCAGCCGGTGGCAGCGGGCAGGGACCTGCATCCTGCTGATGCAGCGCTGACTCCGAGGGACGGGACGCGAGTCAGCGCTGCGGGACTTTGTGGCAGAGTTGTTTCCTGGCACTGGAATTGGGGAGTTTTGCAAGGATATTGAGTAGCAAGAGTAAACCTCTGGGAAGCTAGAACTACGGTCTCTCCTCAGAGTGGTTTGTTTTATTTTATGGTTGGCTTTTTTTTCCTCCCAAGTGATCCAGATTTTGCTGTTAGGATGGTTTCCACTTGGTATTTGCAAACGCCAGTTTGGTCACTGCTTGAGAAGAAGCTGGAACAGAAACTGGGTTTTGTGGGGAGGGGGCATGTGTGTTTCTGTTTTGCAGCTACTCAGCTTTCTGTCCTTGTTTAACACTAAGATTTGGGTCAAAGCCTTGATTTCATCAGGATGAGGTGTCTTAGGCTGGCTTTTGTCCTTCATTTTTGCCAAATCCTCCCTTTGCACAGCCTCTCCTTTTGAGTGCCTGGGGCTGGCTAACGACTTGGTGCAAAGCAGAGCAGAGGTTCGTTGCCAGAGCCATTCTCCCAGGATGTCCTTGAGAAAGTTGGCTGATAGACATTTTTATACTCAAGTGAAAATGTAGACCTTTTTCCCTCCTTTCTTTTTCTGGCTGACTGATTGAGAAGACTGAAAATGTATCCCAAGTATTTAGTGCAAAAGGGAGGGCCTGGAGCACCGATATGAAAGCACGGGCCCTCCCTGTGTTACACCCTTGCAATAGTTTGCCGCAGACCGCCGCAGCTGGTTGACATAAAAGAGCATCGTTTTGAAGAATCCTTTGAGAGGCTGGAAATAAATAGAACAGATGCACACTTTTCTTAGAAAGGACTGGAAATCTGATCTGTCGCTACAGCTGCTCGTAATTGTGAAAACATACAAAAAATATAAATATGTTTCCCAGAACAATATTTGGCTCTTGGGTCTTCATAGCTGTTTTCTCCTGCTCAGAGAAGCTGTGTCTCTGATGAGAAACTTCCACTGGTTTAACTAAAGAGGACTTCAGAAAGACTTAATTCAATTGGTACAGATTACTTATTTCATTTAAACCACATTTATTTCAGCATAGTTTAAGTTACTGAGAAACTGACTTCAGTCAAACCAAGTTGAGCTACCATTCAAATTAAAAAGGTTCAAAGCAAGAGGAACCATTATGCTCATGTTGCCTGGGCCCTTCATTAATACATCACATTTCACCCCATGGTTCTGACAACCAGGCACATAAATTGTGGTTGAACTGGAATGCGTCTTTTCCAAAGATACCCACTCTTGATGTAAAGTCTTCAGGTGAATTAAAGGATACAACACTGCTGGGCACTTTCCTTTCTCATTGTTAGTTGTGGTGCTCTGAAAGTCTCTTTTTTTTACAATCTACATTTTTGTAGTTTTGCTTCCTAGCTGTTGAATTTCATTTTGCTTTTGTTTGCTCAAAAACGGTGTCCTCAACTGTCAGAAACCTCTTGCAAACTGTAATCAAGTACTCTTTTAAAAAAATTTTCTCTTGGGTGTACCACAAAGAGTAAGTTTCTCAGATTCTCCTTTGGCCTAGTACTGAGAGATTTGCATCTGTATAACAAAACTGGGTTTATGATTTGAGGTATGGTTTTGTGTAGATAAGTCTAATAAGGAATGTATTGACATTTTCCCCTTATTGTAATTATTAAAAATAGCACATACACATGATAGGAAAGATTTTTTAAAATGAGTGGTGTTACCACAGAGGTATGGAAACAGTTATTTTGTGCCCCCAGGCCTTTTCCAGAACAAAATCACTTTTCTTCAGTATTGGGAAATTATTTCCTTGGCATCACTTCATGCTGTCCCACGTCCTTTTTCTGCTGGACCTGTTTTGCTAATGAAACCATCTTGCTGTCAGCTTTAAGGCAACAGTGCATTTGCAGGACATTTCTTCTCCACTGTCCCAAGCAAGTCTGCTGTCAGAGACCAGTCTACCAAACTTCAGTTTGAAAAATGTTAGTTTAGGTAAAAACTGCTGCTGAAGGTCTGACTGGGCTCTACTGAAGCATCTGGTGGTCCTGGCTATCAGTCTGGGAGGACGGGGGACTAGGTTTTTGGCATTTGCTTGTTAAGCACCTTTTGAAAGTCTCCTCCATTTCAGTATTCCCAGGAGACATCCAAGATTATTAGACAGTTCTCAAATTCTTTGTTGGGGTCCTTTGAAGGGAAATACTAGAAGAGAACAGTAGCAGTGCATCTGCAGCTTTCCATGCCCTTGTGCACAGCATGAGCATCTTCCCTCCCATAACTGAGGGGTCCAAGACCAATATTTGTGCAGTAACTGAGCTCAGCCCTGCTCTGCACATTCTCGATAACAGACTAGCTGGGACTCCACAGCTTACCCTGGGGCTGTGGGGTAGGAAGGGACTGGCTGCTGCGTCACAGGGCCCTGTGTTTCAGTGACAGTGAGGGCAGGGATACCCAGCAGTTGGCATCCCTCTCAACGCTAGGCAGAGATTTTCCTCTGCTCACTGCTCTTCCCTGGGCACAGAAGGCAATGAGGGTGCTCTGGGGCCACTCACCATCCCTCACTGCTCTCAGGCATCTCTCCCTAATGTTACAGTGCCAGAGCAAGATATTTCATTACACAAGGCTTCTAAAAAGTGTTGGTTAACCTCCACCAGCTAAACCACACCCTAAATCCTGCAAGGTCAGGCTGTTTCTTTACTGAAGGTGGTGGGGGGCATGTTGTCTTTGCCCATTAATGCCTCCCTGGGTCAGTTTCCACCAAAACTCTGATTTGCCTTATTATTCACTTATTCAGGGAGCATCCAAAAGTGCCAGACACCACACAGGTACTTGGGATCAATCAACAGGACTGGGCTCAAATACTGTTACTTGCCTCAGAGCATCCCAGTCCTCCAATGCCCTTGTCTCTCTGGTGTCAGAGGTGCCACACTCAGGTGCCAGAGTTGCCCATGCTGGTGGCTGTAACCACATCTGCCTGGAGATTAAGCCCTTTCCCCAAGGATTCAACAGAACTGTGTTATCTCTAGTGTAGCATCATGTGGACCGCTAAAGCTCCGTCTTGTACTTGGTTAATTTATCAGTCTGCCTGTGTATCAGCTTTTGGTAGGAGGCAAAAGCTGCTTCTTAATAACTGCTGCTTCTTAATAACTTAATAACTACTAGGTTATTTGTATAAAATCAGGGCACTTGGGAAGAGTTAAGAAAGACAAATACAAGAAATGCCTGAGGGACATCACACCAACTGGCAGTGTTTGCAGAGAACCAAGGCATGAGCTGTACAATTCAGCAGCAAATTCCGGGCATCGCACACTGCGCTCCTCTTCAGCCTAAAAAAGCCTACAGCTGACCTAGGGAGTCTGCAGTGTAAAAGCCATTTATCCCATGTTCACTGAATTCATACGTATCCTGGTGACCTCTCCTTTACCTCCAGATGGGTAGTTTGTCCAGCAGGAATAAATAGCTGTAGTTCAGGCAGTGCTGCCACTGGTTGTTATCTTCTCTCCCTGCTTTCCTCCCTCCTTCCTCACCATGCTCCTGACTTCCTCCTCCCCACAGGTCTCTACCTGGCAGATTTGTTCCCCTTGGCTCTTTGACTGATGGATCAGCTCTCTCTTTCTACACTCCATTCCTCTTTTACCTCTCTTCCCCTTATTTTTGCTCTCCAATTAGGTCCTTAAGTTTGCCACATAGCTGATGATGTAATGTATGAAGCAGATATGGACTAGAAGCAGAAACTAGTGTGTTTGAAAGAAGACAAGGTGGGAGTTAGTCTAGGGTCAGCTCAGGCCATCTTCATCATCTTATTTTGTCCTTATCTTTAGTACACCCTCCTTCCATTTTGACCCAATGTTTGTAGAGCTCCCTGCACTTTGGACCCTGATCACCCCTCCTTGGTGTCAAAGTATGGGCTGATTTGGCACTGCAGTCCGGAGAGCAGTAAGGGGTTAACAGCAGTGAGGAACCATAGTCCTGTGGGAGGTGACAGGATTTGACCTCTAAAAGCGAGATCTGCATGGTCAAGGTCCTTGGTGGAAGCTCTTAAAGTGTCTGTGAGAGAATAAAAACTGCATCTCCCTTTGGAGGAGCCTCCCATCCCATACTGTCCCGTCCCATCCCATTCTACTGCATCCCACCCCACCCCATCCCATCCCACCCCACCTCACCTCATCCCATCCCCATCCTTCCTCCATTAAACTACCAACATCTGCAGCATCACTCTTATTTGAGCCACTCCAGGGAATGAAAACCCAGGTTTCCCAAGGGTGAAGAGAGAGGGGATGTGTGAAAAGCAGAATGTGTTTCCTATGCTTTGAGATTGTATACCTCTTTGTGGTTCTTGTGGTGTATGTTGTGTTTTCTATGCTCATTTTTGAATGGGGAAGGCTTAGAGTATCCCAGAAAATGAAAACCCAAGTGCCTCATTTCCTTGCAAATCAAGGAGGAATTATAACCAGAGCTGGGGAAACAAAAAAAAAAGAGGTCAAAACTCTTTCTGCCAGGTGATAAAAACAGAGGAGTACAACACTCACATTTAATTTGAATCCACCAGATCAGTTTAGCAAAAATAACACTGGTGTATAAGAAAGTCTAGAGAGTCCTTGCTTTTGCCTTTTGAAAAGTATTTTAATTTTAGCTTCAACACAAAACAAAACCCCTGCATCCTGAAAATGAACAAAGCAGTTTCACGTTCAGTTAAGCATTTGATTTGAAAAATATGTATGCATAGGAATTTACTTTGTTCTGCTCAGAAGACAAGAACATTTTCCATTTGGGGTCTGTCCGTAAGTATTTTTAAAATCCAAAGGAGGGGATTTAGTCAGAAAATTCTCCTTTCATTTCCCTGCTGAAGAAACCCTGCAACTAGAAAACTGATTGTCTCCCAGTGACAGTGAGGAATACAATCTTCATTACATCCAGAACCTAATTCTGTTACGTTGTATTTGTGTCCACTGAATAATCTTGAATGTTGATCACAGACTGAATTAGTTTAGGTCCCTGAAAATCTGCCTTGTCTCAGCCTTCTCATTTTCATGTTCTCACCTAGAGACTGTCACCCTCCTCCCAATTTTTCTGGGCTTTGCCTCTTTCAAGAGCTAACAGCTGCATCACTCTCCAAACAGGGTGTCGCGGGCACCTGCGCTGCTCTTCCAGCCCTTGCAAGCTAAATACATGGTATTCCCAGGCATGCCTGGCATATGATTTTACTTTGTGGCTATTAATAGCTGTTAGTGTAGGACTCTAATATGAGATTTCCACAATAGTTGTGTTATTTTGACTATTATTTGGTTTATCTGTCTTCTTGACTTCTGTTGGCTCGGCAACCTTTCGGAGGAGAGGAGAAAAGTCCAAACATGGCTGTTTGCTCCTTTTCCTGTAGTGAACAAGGGACGTTGCAGTGCTCGGAGCCATCAGGTGGAGGCATCCAAACCTTGTCCAAAGAAGATGGACTGGCAGTTCCTTACAGGCCCAAATATGATTTGAAGAAGTTTAAAGGGGCTCGGACAGTGTTGAGTGGAATACACAGTATTTGTCACTGCAAGGGCTTCACCCAGTGTACAAGGCTTTGTCTGGTGTATTGGAGTGAAGGGTTCAAGAGAAGCACTTAACAGGTTGGGTTCTTAAGGTTTTTAGGGAGTCCTTTCCTACTCCATACTAGCCAGTTCTGCATGAGGATGCTCTCTTCTTTGGCTTTTATAGGGTTGCCAAAAAACAATCTTAAACCAAGATAACTACTGCTACAGTATTATCATGGTTCTTTCTAAAGTTAAACCACTGCCAAGTCTTAAACACTCAGCAATTCATAATGCGACCTCAGGGAAGAATGTGAAGCTTTTTGCAAGTGCTTTGTTTTGGTTTTATTTATCTTCCGGTCTCTGAGCACTTAATTTGGTGTGAGGATGCATTTTCAACTCTTTCTCTATCCCAGGAGGGAGAGAAAGAGAGCTGAGATCATTGTGTAATACTGTTATTCCAGGGTTTTAAGGTTTTCAAGAAGTGGCACATAGGATTTGTGTGAAGATTTGCAGCAAAGCTGCACGAGTGGGTAATTCACTGTTACACAGTATTTTCTCTTCTTTGTAGTTACTTGGGCTTCCAGATGTTGATGATGATGCATTTGAAGAATATAACGCAGATGTGGAAGAAGAGGAACCAGAAGCCGATCACCAACAGATGGGTGTCAGCCAGCAGTGATTTTCTGAGAAGCTAAAATAATTCGGAAGCCTTTGGTACCAGGTGGGGTCAGGTGGTCCCACGTTAGCCTGTTCGAATTAGCCCATCACAAGGGGATATCTGGCTGCCAAGATAAAAGTTTCACAAAAAATGGTTTAAAAAAAAAAAAAAAAATAATTTGTGATGAGCTTTGCTAAGAAGTGACCTGAATTTTGCTCCTGCTTCAGTGGGTTTTCTATGGAGTTGTCTTGGTAGCATTCTACCGCAATCAGTCTAGAAGTAGTTTTGTCGCTGACTTGTCTCTTCGATTTGTGCTCGAGAGTAGCATTCGCTGACATGAATGTAGAGTACCGAGAATGTAGGAAACGTGTGGTGAGAGTGCCGAGTCCTCACCGGTGACCTTTCTGAGGAAACCAGCGCAGAGAGCAAACACCACCTGCGCTTTTATGTTTAGTTCAACAGCTATGGTTTTTGAAAAAGTACCAAACTTGGGAGAAACCTCTCCTTAAAAACAGTAGTTCAATAGTGGTTGGTGCTGCAGAAGTGCACGTGAGGGCTTAACAAAAAAGTAATGGGAAGTGGGAAATCCAGGAGGTGTCAGACATATTAATGTTGTTTTACTGACACCTGAGTTTACAAGTGCTGAATTGATAACTGGGAGTAATGAGTATCAACAGCACACATTATAGCCAACCCTGGTACTCAAACATCATGTGATCCAAAGGCAAGTGCTGCTTTCTTACAAATGAAGTAAAAAATAGCCATAGCCTATCCCACTTCTGCATGACAACCAACTTTAAGCTTCGCTGGTTTTGATACACTGCCAAATTATTACTCAAACCTCGTGGCATCATGGATTAGAATCATAGAATATACTGTGTTTGAAGGGACCCATCAGGATCATCAAGTCCAACTCCTGGCCCTGCACAGGAGACCCAACAATCACACCGTGTGCCTGAGAGTGTTGTCCAAATGCTTCTTGAACTCAGACAGGTGTGGTGCTGTGACCACTTCCCTGAGGAGCCTGTTCTAGTGCTCAGCCATCCTCTGAGTGAAAAGCCTTTTCTTGGTATCTAGCCTAAAGCTCCCCCAGCTCAGCTTCCTACCATTTCCTCGAGTCCTGTCATTGACCATGAGAGTGGAGAGATCAGTACCTGCTGCTCTACTTCCCCTCATGAGGATGCTGAAGACCGCAGTGAGGTCTCCCCTCAGTCTTCTCCAGGCTGAACAGACCAAGTGACCTCAACTGCCCCTCATACGGCTTCCTGTCCAGACCCTGCACCATCCTCGTGACCCTCCTTTGGACACTGTCTAAGAGCCAAAGGTCTTTTTTATATTGCGGTACCCAAAACCTGCATGCAGTATTCAAGGTGAGGCCACCCCAGTGCAGAGCAGAGTGGGACAATCCCCTCCCTGGACTGGCTGGTGATGCTTTGCCTGATGCCCCCCAGGACAAGGTTGGCCCTCCCAGTTGCTAGGGCACTGCTGACTCATATTCAACTTGCCATCGACCAGGACCCCCAGGTCCCTTTCCATAGCGCTGCTCTCCAGCCTCTCCTTCCCTAGTCTATACACACAACCAGGATTGCCCCGTCCCAGGAGCAGAATCCAGCACTTGCCCTTGTTAAACTTCGTAGGGTTGGTGAGAGATTGCCCATCATCCTAATTTGTTGAGGTCTCTCTGCAGAGCCTCTCTGCCCTGGAGGGAGTCACTAAATTGCTCACCCCCAATTTAGTGTTTTTGTCAAAACTTAGTATTCCTTTAAGTTGTTAATGAAGATGGTGAAGAGAACTGGGCTGAAAATGGAGCCCTGTGGAACCCCACTAGTGACTGAATGCCAGCCAATGTTACCCCATTCAGTATAACTCTTCTGCCCAACCTGTGAGCCAGTTGCTCACTTTTCACATAACGCAGTTATCCAGCTTTGTCCTGGACGTTTTGTCCAGAAGGATACTGAGAGAGTATCAAAAACTTTGCTGAAGTCCAAAAAGATGACATCTACTGGCTTTCCTAGATCAGCTAGGTGGGTTACCCTGTCACAGCAGGAAGTCAGGTTCCACAAGTAGGACTTTCCCCTCATGAAGCCAAGCTGGCTGTAGCTGAAGACTGCGTTGTCCTCCACGTGTTTTTCAATACCTCCCAGAATAATCTTTTCCATGGTTTTATTGGGCACTGAAGTGAGACTGACCAGCCTGTCATTTCCAGGGTCCTCCTTGAGTGCACCTTAAGTGCAACTTGAGTGCAACCTAACATTGAAGCCATAAGGGTATAAACCAGCACCTGGTTCTTAAAATTATGCTGGAACTCTTCCTCTCCCTGGGCCTTTGAGCTAGTGGGAGCATTTACACCTGTTTGAAGGGGAGCTAAAATACCACTACTTTGGCTGATACGAAATCTAGTGAGTTTTGGTTATCAGGGAACTTGCTCCCCAGAAGGCTTTGGTGATGGTTTTGGTATAAAGGATATATATATATATATATATTATACCTGTTTTGCATAGATTTAAGTGACTTGGATGAGTGCCAGACTGTGAAGATGTAGGGTGTCTTTATTTACTTGCCTTTTGTACTGAAAATATAAGAAGCAAAGGTAATTCTATTGTAATACAGCTGAAGAAAAATGTTTCTAAATTCTCTCCTTTTTTCCAATTTTTTAGAAATTACTAAACAAAGGTCACATGCTCCAAAAACCCTTTTATACAGAATTAGCTTTATAAAAACAAAGAGTGAGTGAAGAGAAAATGCTTGGACAACTCCTAGAAACAACTCGCATCATTTTGAAAATCCTTGTTGTTAACAATGTCTCCTTTTCAATAGACTTTTTAAAGACTCTTTTTCCAAGGTTACTAAAGAGAGCAAGTTTTCTTGGTGGTTTGATGATGGTGGCTTCAGAGATGCATAGCACATGATTTTTCAGCTGGAGGCAAAAAACCTTTCGTGAGTGGCATGATGTGTGGTACCTGAATCTGCACAGAAGTGTCTACAACACTGTAAAAGTCAGAGTTTAAGAATATTAAAAAAAAAGGTGGAAGAAAACCAGAGCTTAATGCAACTTTGTACATTCTTTCAGCATGCAGGCGTAAACATGGTAGTTGCAGCACATTTTCTATGGACTAGTGACGTGAGAACTGTGGCAGTTCATTGTATAACACTGTACAGCAGCAATAGGCTTTTTGCTTACTAAAATAAAGTGTAAGACCGGTGGTTTTCATCCCTGCTTTAAGTCCCTAAATTTTTCTTTCCTCTCCAGCTAGGACAGATACTATAACCTTAAACAGAGCCTTCCTTCAGGAAAACCTTTCTCTTTGTAGCATCATGGCTCATACAAGTAGGGGCTGACTTTCCTCTACTCTAGCATAATGTAAGCGAGCAATTCACAGTAGCCCAAGCAGGAGGCAAAGTCCTACCATCCAGGTTTGCTGGCCACTTGCACCCTTTTGGCTCAGGGGAAGGTGCAGGCACCCACCCACACACCTGCACAAGCCGTGGCACGGCTGCATCGTGAGCTGGGCTGCGGGGTCGGTCTGGCTGGCGTGTAACCCTCTGCCTTTTTGCAGACAGGCAGTTTTCCAGCTGGATCAATTCAACCATCTGGCTAAGTGTGTGGCTGCATAGACGAGTGCCAGCACAACGAAGGGGAGGGTGAAGGGGTGAACCGGGGTAGTAGCTGAAGACCTGCTGCTAAATGCACCTTGCACAGTGTTAGGGGCCCACGGCAGAGGTGCAGACCAGCCCAAATGCTGTGAAGGATTGACTCCACAAGGCTCAGTGGAGAACTGGGCTCTGACTGGCAGCAGGATAGGTGGGAATTCAGGAAACGAGGAAAGACTGTAAGATCCAGTGCTTGTAACTGCATACAGGAGGTTGTAATATGTACTGCACTCTGCTACCTTTCCCTGTGTATTGATTGAATTGTTAATGAGGGGTTGAACATTAATGTGGTTGCAAGCAAACAAAGCTGTAAATTATGTAGATATATTATTATTTTCTGTATTCACTAACTCACTTTTTTTCGGAATGCCAAATGCCATTTGGGTGACTTCCACACCAGACTGCAAGTGCTGGACAGCTGGGGGCCCTTCTGCAGTGCACACCCCTGCAAAACTCCCACTGAAGCCAGCAAGATTTTGTTCAGACGGGACCTGCAGAACCAGGGAATGTGTGAGGCTTGGTCCTGCAGAGAGCTGAGCACTCTCATTCCCTCTCACTTTGCTAGGAGTGGAATGTGTTGAGAGCCCTGCTGCTGAACTGAAGCATGACCAACCAGCACTAAGAATAAACTGGAATTTTATACATAGAAAATTTAATTTACATGTGTAATAAATGTGAATGAGCATTAATATAGAATGTATTTTATCAAAAAATATTGATTCCTTACTTTGACCAAATACATTTCTGTATTACTGTGTTACTTGTTCCATGCTTGCCAAATGATGCAAGAGATGCAGAACTGGTATGGTTGTATTACAAAGTGGTTTTATATTTTATTTGTATTTTATTTTTCCCTTCCTTCCACCACATATTGCAGTTAGTAGCCGTTCAATAATTAATCAGAGGTAGCATGACCCAGTGGCTAGGCTGGCGACAGAGACACAAGCTTTGCCAACTATAAATGCTTGCAAATCAGGGAGATGAGTGAACAGATGTGGATTCATAGCTCTGCCATTGCCTTGCCCTGAGCTTCAAGTGGGTCTCGGTGGCTGGGCATTCAAGGCAGACCTCTAGTTGTGCATCCATGCCTCTAGAAAATTTAGAAGGAGCAGGGTAACTCCTTTGAAAGTCCCACCTTAATCATTTTGTAAAAGGGATTGTGAGTATTATTTACCCAGCGGTGTATACAGTGCTTTAGATCTGTGGGTGAAAAGAGGCACATGTGAGTATTGCCTATCCTCAAAGCAAACCACTAATGAAAGGACATAGAAAAGTGTCCCTTTTCCCTCACCCTTTTCTTGTAGGCATTTCACGCTCTTAACTAAATACAAATATATTAGAACAGAGCCTCTTGCAGAACTGACGCTTCTGAATATGAGTGGCATGAATGCAGTGAGCAGAGTGCTGCTTGGGGGATGAGAAATACATGGGATGCCAGAGGGAAGCACAGATTTCAGAAATGCGACAGCTGGTTTGGGTAGCAGGGGCAAGAGTGAGCAAGGCCCCTTCCAGAAAGATGCTGTGATTTCTGAGACAGCCCAAACCATCCTGCCAAGTGGCTGCTTATTGAATCCATGCTGTTTATAAAACAGCTCCTCTGGACTTTACTGGGGCCTTGAGCTCAGTCGTGTTTTTCCATGAGTGTCCTGCCTGATGAAAGCATTCAGATGGTTGAGGGGGAAGAAGGGATGGAGAAAACAACCTTCTCTTCCTGGTGGGACGTGAGGCTGTGACAGTAAAAGTGATTGCAATAATGTTGTGGATTTTGTTTTGGAAAGGTGCCATTCAGGATATATTCCCAGCCTCTTTCATCATGTTTCCTGATCTTTCTCTGGGATCCAGGGTGGACGTCCATGGCTGTTTTGCTCAACGTCAGGTTTAGCTGTGGCAGGAGGCGAGGTTACCGGTTCGTCCATCCTCATTCTGTGTCCATCCTTATAACCCATGTCCATGCTTCCCTCCTGTCCATCCTTACCATTCAGTTCTTGTCAGAATTTCTCACTCACAGAGGAGGGAAAGCATAGGAAAGGGGAGAGAAGCACCTCTTACCTCCCACAGCTTGCAGCCGGATGCATCAGTGAAAGCTGCAGTTCAGCACAGTGCGTGTTACCGAGTCACATTGTCTTCTCTGCACAGGGGGATGAGGTGGCATGGGAGATGTGTTATCCCTCGATGACCCATGAATGGTCCATGCCAGAGAGGGGTTATGCAGAAGACAGCAGTCTTTTAGGTGCCAATCCCGGTATCTTCACAGGGAGTGATGTGTAGCCAAATGATCCACTCTCTGAAAATCATAACCCGTTGAGGCTTTCCAGGCTGGGTGCCCCAAAAATGAGACTTGTCTGGTTGGATGTCTCTTTCTCAGTGCTGGCTGGTTTTGGTCTGGCCCCAGGACATTAGAAATAGGGAAGTATCCCTTAAGGGGCTCTAGCTGGATGCACCTCTCTCTAAATCACTGAGCGTAGGCAAATGCTTTGTTTGATCTGTTTAATTCTGGCAGGACCTCCCCTCCTCCCCAGCAGCCTGTCTGTGCAGCCAGCTGCAGCTGGGAAGGCTTTGTGTGAGAGCCAGGCAGGAGTGACTCAGGGCAGCAGCTCCTAGACCCTGTAACACGCTGGGCTTGAGGTGGTACCTGCAGAGTCACCAGGGAGCTGAAGGCTCAGGGATATCACTTCCAAGGCAGATATTAAAATAAATAGATTGTCTAAATGTGATACTTACCTGTGATAGGGAAGGCTCTGAGGACAGACCTTGTCAGTTTGGGTTTTTATTAGACTTCTGAGACTTAGCTGCATTGTTGGTATCTGATGTCTCTGTCAACTGTACAAAGGAAACCTCTTGACTTAAACACAGTCACCTGTTCAGTGGGCCAGATTATTATTTACGTGATCTGTGTTTCTCTTTCTTTTATTCTCATTTCTGATAATTTTTTTTAAAGAAAGAAAATCCCTAAAGGCATGTTGGCATTATTGCAAGTGGATTCTATAGGGCCACGTAGTACTGCACTGTCAGTACAAGATTGGACATAAAAAAAGAGTACAGATTAACAAAAAGGGCCTTGATTTGTCTGCAGAAAAAAAAACAACCTTCTTTGAACTAGTTATTTCTGAGTACAGTAAAGCTCACTGGTTTCACGTAGAATACATTGAACTTTGAAATTCCCTTTCTGTACCAACGTGCTGTTGCTCATGTAGGCAGGGATCTGTGGTAACGCTGCATGTAAAGGAAGCTTTCATCTGCGGGGGGCGGGGGGCGGGTGATGGAAACACCAACTCTGGATTTCAGTGAGCGCAATATCTTTGTTGTTGTCGAGTTTTCCTTTACTAATGTAAGGACCAGCCAGCCTTCAGCACGTCAAGCAGAAATCATGTTGTGCCACACCATGCCAAAGCTGTCTTTGGTGTGGTTTCGACCATTTTTCTGGCTGGAAGATGTGTCTTTGGGACTACAAAGCTGGGAAAACGGGTCACCGAAAGCTGCCCTTTTGTTCAACGCTTTCAAAGGTGTAAGCCTTCAGTGAAGTACTGCCTTCCTTCTGATCCTTCTTCCTCCTGATCCTCCTTCCTCTCCCACCACTGAGGCATCAAATCCAGCAGTGTCATTACACCATGAGCTTGCCATTAAAGAGCTTACCAAAACTCTGGTGACTGATGGAGTCTTTTCTGTGGGAGCAAAATCAGCTAACTTTTGAATCTGGGCAGCTAAAACAGCTACAATGCATGTGATGAAGGGAGAGACAGGCTTAAACTTCCCGGGCACTGCTGGTGTGTATGGTGGTATAACACAGTGTTTAAAGGTGTAAGGAGGAGAAAATTACGTCATTTGAGCTTTGGGCACTGCAAAGCCATCCATGCTGGACCCAGAACCATGAGGTGGTTTGGCACAGTCTGAGGTGGTGGATTTAGAAGCTGGGAATTGGTGGTGAGCCAGTATTTCAGACCTCTCAGGTCTTTTTCTGGTTTTTTTTTTCTATTTGTGTGTGAGCCAGTATTTCAGACCTCTCAGGTCTTTTTCTGTTTTGCACAGATTAGGGAGACATCTGTTCTAATTAAGAGACATGTAATAATGCTGAAATGAAAATTGGTGATTCTGTTCAAACAATTTTCCTCTTTTCTTTAAACACTATACTTTTAATTGCTGCTTAGACATCTTCTCACCCTGATTTAGTTGAAAGAGTGCTGTCTGTTGTTACCTTTTGTCACAAGGCTCTGTGGGCTGACATGTTCCAGCCCATGGAAGAGCAAGTGCTTTAACTTAGCACTTGTTTTTTTTTTTGGCACTTCCCAGGGCACGAGCACTGAGAGGAGCGTGCCAATTACATGCTTCATGGTGTGCCTAGAACCTTTAGTGCTGTCTATAAAGCCATTCCTGTGGTTGGTGGAGTACCTGCCAGGACTGATTCCCTCATGTTGGTGCATGATCCCGACAACACAAGCCCCCAAGCCTCTTGAGAGACCTTTGCATATGGTGGAAGCCCCTGTGGCAATTAGGCAGATACAGCTGCCGTCGTGGAAACAATGATGATCCCAAGCAGCTCTTCAGCTGCTTGGAGCCTGCTGC